ATGTTAAGGCCGGTATCGCTCTTAATGAGCACTTCGTCAAGCTCGTCTCCTGGTATGATAACGAGTGGGGTTATTCCCAACCGTCTTGTTGACCTCGCTGTTCATATGAGCAAGGTTGACGCCACTGCATAAATAGATATGCTACAGCCATTTTTCTGATCTACAACCTTTCCTTCATGGCTGAATGCCAATTTCCTAAACGATGTTGTTGTATTCGCGTTCAATATAGGGGGACGATATTGGAATTGAGCTGTATCGATTAGATTCTCAATAGGGGGATTTCAGTGCATCAAATGTTAACTGACTCTTAAAATGTTCAGTTGCAACACGTTTCTGGTCTCGCGTTCTTCGTCATAATCCAACACCTCGCGAATGGGGAGTCTCGCAGAATCAGGCAGTAGTTTGTGTTATACAATAACATCAGAGGTGACTCCGAATAGACCCTGAGAATGTGAGGTTCATTGTGATTACCGCAGAACCGCTAGACCGAGAGCATTTACAAGTTATATACTGTAGACATGTCAAAAGTTAGAGGAAAATAGACCATGAGCGAGGTGGATAGAGAAACTTGACCCGGGCTCGAACCAACATAAAACTCTGATTGTAGCATCCGCCTACCAGTGATTATATACTAATTCCTCTACGATACCACTGCAGTTTCATTAACAGGGAGGTTGACTGGAAAATTATCCAGAGCAGGCTATTCGGGAACACGGGGACAGGTCGACGCACAATAAGCGGCTCGCTGAGACTCTTAACCTCAGAGGGGGGGGCCCTGTACGAACTAAGGATCACTGTTATGTCACGGGTCACGAATCATGATCCATATGGTATGGATATTCATTACTTGTGACTCGCGTCATAGCTAACCCTTAACAGCCACAGGACAAAGATGCGGGAAAGCTGAGCTTAACACGCTGTGTAAGAGCACTTTAACGGAGTAATAACATCACTTGTGATTCATTTATCCACAACAATGGTTTGCCAACTCGGTATCAATGGTTTCGGTCGTATCGGCCGTCTCGTTTTCCGTGCCGCCATGGAGAATCCTGAGGTCAAGGTCGTTGCTGTCAACGATCCCTTCATGAACATCCCCTACATGCAGTACCTTCTCAAGTACGATTCCGTCCACGGTCAGTTCAATGGTACTATCGAGGTCGCTGAAAGCGCCCTCATTGTGAACGGTCAGACTATTCAGGTCTTCTCTGAGAGGAACCCCTGCGATATCCCGTGGGGTAAGGCCGGTGCTGATTATGTCTGCGAGTCCACTGGTGTCTTCACTACTGGTGAGAAGGCCTCTGGCCATATTCAGGGTGGTGCTAAGAAGGTTGTCATCTCTGCTCCCCCTAAGGATGACACTCCCATGTTCGTGATGGGTGTTAACAACAAGGAGTATACGTCCGATCTCAAGGTTGTGTCCAACGCCTCGTGCACTACTAACTGCTTGGCCCCTCTTGCTAAGATCATGAACGACAACTTTGGTATTGTCGAGGGTCTCATGTCCACCATTCACGCCACTACTTCCACTCAATTGACCGTCGATGGTCCCTCTAAGGGTGGTAAGGACTGGAGAGGAGGCCGTTGCGCTGCTGCCAACGTCATTCCTTCCTCCACCGGTGCCGCCAAGGCCGTCGGTAAGGTCATCCCCTCTCTCAACGGTAAGTTGACTGGTATGTCCTTCCGTGTCCTACCCTGATGTTTCTGTTGTCGATCTTAC